ACTAAGATCATTTAAAAAGGTCCTGGAACAAGATATATTATTTTTTAACAATGACAGGAAGTAACTTATATCAATCAATTTATGTTGTCCCATGTTATGATAAATGTAATGAATCTTATGTATGTTTTAGAATTGATTTATATTATTAATAATCAAGTTAAAAGTGTAAATCAACAACATTGTCTATCAACATAATTACACAATGATCATTGATCTGATGTTGATTAAATGTATTGATATTACATAGATCAACCAACACTTTCAAATTTTCCTGATGTTTTTATTAAAAACAATTAATATTAGTAATAAAGGATAATGTTTGCAGTTATGTGGTCATAACTATAGTTGAAGAAGTTGCAGATTGCAGCATTAGGCGTCAAAATTTTTTGGGTTGCAACTTCTTAGTTGCAGAGCCATCTTTATTGATGGATGATCCATCCACCTATAAATTAGTGAATTTGTTACGAAAACACTAATCTTTACATCTCCAAAGTAGAATTTTTTTTTTTTTTCACAATACAAACAAAGAAAAAGATTATATATCAATAACCTTTGAGTTTTTTCTATCTGCAACTATGAAATATATCGATAATTTCACTGATTCATGCGTGTGAGGGATGTTAATGATCCGGACTGAACAGACCACGGACTGATCTTAAGTATCAAAGATCGTTTGGACCGTTATGAATTAGTAAATGTGTCACGGGATTTTTATTAAGTGAATGGATTAAATCGGAAATGATTTACTAATACAAATGGCGAAGTATAATTAATAACTGTATCAATGGTTATTTAATTAATGGAAAAGACATATCGGAAAATTATTTGTAATTAAATAATTCCTAGAAAACAATGCTGTTGGCTCTTGATAAAAAGTTCTTTGATTAATATATCTTTAATTAGAAATTATTATAGTTATTGAAAAAATTCTTTAGAAGAAGGACCTTTCTCTTTAGAATATTTAATTAATAATCAAGAAGCAAATAATTTCGATTTAATGGAACTGGAACCTAGATGATAGTATAAAATAGTGTTAGATTTCTTGCTTGTATTTTTCTTTATTTTTAGTATTTTAGTATAGAAAAGAATTACATCCTTGACTATGTTGTGATAAATTTAATGGTCTGATCCTTTGATTAGACTAAGCGGTCTTTGCACTGGACCATTACAAACCTACGAGTCATTAATTAAACTGTAACGTAACTGATCGGCATCATCCTATGTCACGTGTAATTATCAAACTAACACAAAAATTTTTTACGATATGAATGAACATATTAATATATATTAATACGCCATTTGACTTAAAGAGTTCAATAATTACGGAAATAGTTTTTTAATATCCCGGACAAAATCATATCTGACACTGATATTTGGTGGATTTGTCGTATAGTAACAAGTAGTTTAATATGTGGAAGATTGGAAAATTTTTTAACAGCATCTTTTAAGCCATTGTAACGATATTCTGTCTATTATAACCTTCTATGCTTGTTTTTTCCCCGCAATAACCAATATTTTTATTAAACAATTTTTACAACAAAATCTAAGCCTCTAAACTACTTGAACTATAATAATATAGGCCATATATGTATAAATTTTGCTTGTTAAAAAATTATTAATTCGTGATATCTTTCATTTTATGTTAAAAACTCGAGGATTCACTTCTATTCGTTTCTGTTGTTATAACATCGTATTACATTTGTACTCTAATAAGATAAACAATAAAATATTAACAAATAGACTTACACTGGTAGATAGAATTTTCACAAAAACTTTACACAGTGAAGGCATTGGGTATGACAACCGTTTTTACAATATTATGGAGATTATTGTTCATATCCAATGTTTTCACAGTGTAAAGTCTTTGTGAAAATTCTATCTGTTATATAAATCTTTTTTCTTGGGCTGTCAAAGACTCTTTCTACACATTATTTTTAAGAGATTATGGATATTACTTCCCTTATTAAAAGGATCACGGATTAATATTATATGTAATATAACTATAACTTGTGGCTTATAAAAGTCCCGAATCTCTGGGGAATTTAAGAGAATGAACGGACATGTCCGCTAAAAAAAATTTATTTATTTGATTGCTTTGATGGTTCTAAATCACTACAAACAGAAAGATAGTATTCGATTGATGGATGTAAAGCCATTTATTTATTTAAAATTAAAAAAAAAACTCCCTAAAATAATAATTAATAACTCAGAATCAAAATAGAGTTACGGAATCTAAATTTTTGATACTAGTACTCAATTAAACTTGCTGAAAAATTCCAAAGTTAACGCCTATTTTTTTATTACAAGAAAACCAGTTTATAAACTTTTATTTATTAAGAGGTATTTTTTTCCTATTGATGTGTAAATTTCTATCCGCAATAATAAATATTAAGTTTACCATTACTCCTAAACTTTATAAATACACTCTTTTAATAACATTGGCCCTTGTTGTATTGCATAATTGTATATATACTCCTACTATTATATATTAAGTAGGAAATTTTTCCTTTCATGCGCCCAAGTTGGTCGTACAAATTTATTCAAAATGTTACACGTTATATATATATATAGATAGAATTGGAAAATTTCAACAGCATCCTATAATGAATATTTCGTCTATTATAACCTTTTAAACTTGAATGTATTCGATTGCAATAACCAAATTTTATTGAAAAAAAACGTCATTTTGAAATAGCAACATACAGTATATTGAAAAAAAATTTAAACCGTGGTCTGACAAAAGTTGGCCCATATTATTTATTCTAGTAATAAGTATACAAATATAGCAATCGTTATTTAGGTTACGCAGAATTTTGTTATAAATAATAAAAGAAAATAATTTTTTGCGATTTTGGTTTACCAAATTTGTCATTTAAACAGAAGAAAAAATAATGAAAAATGAGAAAAATAAAAACGAAGATTCTTTTACCACCAGATATTTTAACGTTTGTAATAGATTATTTACAAAATGACAGAGAATCATTATTCAATTGTATGTTGGTTTCAAGAACTTGGTCAAATATAGTTGTAAGAGTTTTATATAGGAGTCCCTTTAAATTACTATACATTCACAAAGAAGTTTGTAATTGTCAAAATTATGGAGCGAGAATTTATCAAAAAAGGTGTTTAAGAGCCTACAATATTTTTAATACATTTATGAAGTGTATTATTGTTGAATATTATAAAGAATTGGTAGAAAACAAAGTCATTGGTAACAGTGATGGTGATAGTAATAATCGCAACAACAATTTGGAAAGACCTATATTTTCATATCAAAGATTTATTAGAAGTTTGGATTTTAATTATCTATTTCTAACAGTTGATGATATTTACAGACATGTAATACTTTTACAAAAACCAAGTTTAAAAACAAAGACTAAAAGAGTTACCAAGAGAAGACGTCATAGATTTAATCATAATGTTACTTATGTAGATCACAATAGCCCATATTATGGTGCTCTATCTTATAATAATAATTATGGTAGTGACAGTGGTATTAATGGTAGTAATATTATTATTAATAATATTAATAATAATTATAAGTTGAAAAAAACCGAGGAAAAAAATTTCAATAATTATCAAAAAATTATTTCATATTTTGCAAACAAATATCCACCAAATTCACAATTACAATATTGTAATCATAAATTTGAATATTTGGAGTGTGAGAGGCATTATATAGCCCTATTGCTTTGTCGATTTTTTACAAGGGAATGTTGTCATGTTAAGAGTTTGGGCATCAATATGGATTTTAAAGATAATGTTGGTATTATTAACTCTGTTGATAAAATTGATAAAATTTATTATTGTAAAGATTTACAATCAGAAAAAAATCCATTTTATTCTTTAAGATATGTTAATTTAGATGAATATTTTATGATGCCAAGCTATTATCCATCTGGTAATAATCTAAAGTATTTGACAGAATTTATATGTACAACAAAATTTAGAAAATCAAATCTATTTGTTTCACTTTCTCAAGTTTCAACAAATATTAAAACTATAATAGTAAATATAGATATAGGACCAGATATTCACAGATTCCCATTACATGCATTAAATCATGAAAGAAATTTTATGGACAAAGAAGTAAGATGTCTGGCAAGTTTAATTAAATCACAAAAGAATTTAAATAATTTTGAGTTACATAAATGTAATGAAGGATTAATTCATGTGTTGTCAGCACTCAAATCACAATTAAACACTTTGAAATCTTTAAAATTAGTTAAAGTTAATTTGTCATCTGGTGATGATAAATTGTTGGATTATTTCAATAATAATGATTATCAATTCTCCAAACTTGAGTCACTTTATTTGGATGAATCAACCGTAAATTATAATTTATTGGAAATAATTTTACAAAATTGTGCAAAAGAAAAATTAAAAAAAATTTATACAAACGAAATAATTTATCCGCCATTACCATCACCAATACCATCATCACCATCAAATAATAATAATAGGGGTGGCATTATTGATATGATGTATAATAATAACATTCACAACAGCAGCAATATATTTTTAATAAATTTTAATAATTTAACAGATTTCAAGTGGAATGTTAAAAATGATCAGGTGGATTTAATTGTAAATATATTTAAAAACTGTAGAAAAATTGAGAGTATTCATTTATATCAAGAATCTAAAAAGAATTTGTCTATATTTGACACAAATGAAATTTTGGAAAGATCCAGTAAAATTGGTTTACCAACATCTTTAAAACATTTTACTTTATCTGGTAGGGGGTGGTTTTTTACTCCTTTGTCACTAGAGTATTTTTTAACTCCAAATAATCATAATCATCATCAGCCATACCTCTCCCCTCTTTCTTACACTACTCCTTATCCTGTTTTTACTTTAGAAATTTTAGAATCTGATTGTTTTACATTTCAACACATGGAAGCTATAATTAAGTCATGCAAGAAATTTCACATATTGAATCAATTCATTCTAAAAACTCATTTTGATGTTGGTTATGAGTTGATTAAGATAGCAAAAAAATTTATAAACAAGGTGAATTATCAATGCACACGCGTTAAACTAAATTCACATTAAGTTAATACATACTGTATATATATGATATTATTAAATTTGTATAGAAAAATTTTGTAAAATTTTTTAAATGAAATAATTTTTTTATTATTAAATTGTATATTTTTTTTTTTTCGCGATCATTTTATCCATCAAATATTTAATCTTAGACTAAACTCAACATTCATATATGTAAAGACTTTGCGAGTGAGTTTACTGCTGTTTTTATTACATTTATAGAATTTGGTTTTATTTATATATAGCTTGAAATTTTTTTACATGATAAAAGTGTATATATATATATGTACTTCCAATTTGAAATTTTATCAGTAAAATTTATTTCTTTTATAATATTAATATTAATATGCGTGAAATTTTTATTTTTTGTCGAATTTGTTTGGCTACTAAAATTTCTGAACATTGCGAGTAGTACAAATTATTTATTAGGTTGTTAGTCAAAGGATCTATTCAATGTTGGTGTGTTGGTGAATGTGGTGGAGATATAATCCTATGGAAAGAGAGTGCTCATCACGGTATGGAGAGGCATAAAAGTATTTTTAATTATAAAATAAATCCTTCTTTCCAAACCAAATAATATAAATTTTGCTTTTTTTACATTGAGATCAGATACAGGTATTTAATTCAAAAATTTACTAATAATAATTGAAAACAAACAGCCATTAAAGGATTTACCTGAAACACAAAAATAATTCGTTCGCAATTAACAGGAATAGCAAAAAAATTAAAGAACTAATTATTAGATAAAATGATGTAAAATGATGATTAAATGACAAAAAAATATTACTTCTGATTCTCTGTAAGAAAACAGAGATATTATGACTCTCGTATCTCACGAAGACTTCCAAACACGAATTTACCTGAGCAAAAAACCAAAGAAATTGTGAAAAAAAGAATTTACCGTCCCCGATTGGACTATTAGCAGAATTGTTATAGAGAAAGAATACTAATGATATTCCTTATAAAATCAAAGGAGATGATTAAATAAAATAAATTGATAAGAGCGAAAAACCTTCTTTGGGTTGCAGAAAGGACTTCGTAACTTAATGCTGCTGGGAACAAGGTTATTTATTTCACGTCTATCGGCCGACTGAGACCGCAATATCGAAAATGAACCAAGAATGTTTAGCGGAAGAAGTACAGAAAATATCAACTAGTCACCTTCTGCAATAATTATCTGAAGAAACTGCATCAATATCTCGACGGGCTCGATTATAAGACTACCCGGAAACATTTTTATTCAAAAAGGGATTGATTGAGGAATGGATAGGACATTATATTCAAAGGACGGTCATTTATTTTATAAAGCTCAAAAAAAAAAAAATTTCTTATTTGACTTCTATTGCTTTTTAAAAATAAAGTTGATTGTTAAAAAACTCCAGCGAATGCCTGGTTAACATTGGCCTTCAATTTACCATGTTGTAATATATCGCTTCTAAAGCAAATAATCTTTAATTCGGAAAATTTATACTTGTAAATTTATTAACTAATCATCAACGAGAAATTTTTCTAAATGGAATTGAAACACAATCTATTCTTTAGATCTTTAATATCTTGATTAAAGACTTGCTAATTTGTTAATGACAAATATTTTCTAGCATAATAGAAATACAACCATGCCATTTCTGTTGTTAAATAAAATTCGTCTATTTTTTTATCTCTTTATTACCAATAACCAAAGCCAGAATCATCTCCAATAAATATACCTCCATGAAATGAAATAATGAAAAAACATGCCATGTACGAAGTAAACAACGCTGTGTCTGATTCCCCTAGTAACGAGAAAATTGCCATGGAGTAGAAGACATGAGGAAAATGCGACGATTTATCTGGCCGAAGCGCCACCATGATCTGGGGTTGGGGAAGCATAGTTCACCTCCTTCAAAATTCCCCAAAGCGATGAGACGAGACAACAGGAACAATTTAACAATTTGGCTCATCACGTTCGTCCCAAATGATAATCACTGATAGTAAAGACCTCTATTACATTGGAAATTACAAAATGATTATAGATTTTTAAATAAGAAAATATATCTATACGTAAACCTAGTCAGAGGTTCTCATAAAATGCAAATAAAATAAATTTACACACTCTGAATAACTGTCATTTACAACTATGATCGTCTATACATATGTGGTAAAATGAACCTCATCTAACAAATAAAATAAAAGAATTTTAATACGATTAATATGCCTTTTATCTCAAATCATTAACGTGTTTTTTAATTCACATACGGTTATTAGAAATAATTTTGATTATTGAAATCGAAAAATAATTTGGGCTACATAAATATAATTACCACTAATTATTTCATAACAACAGCCACTCGATTTCCTTGTTTTATTTTAATACTTTAAAAAATTAAAGTAATAAATTTATGGAAGATAAAAAGTTAATTTTAGTTCTAGTTTGTTTTTAAAAAGAAGATAATTCCCATTTTTGAACTCTCAAATTTGGCGCAGAAAATTATAATGAATAATTATAATGAAACACCTATTTTAAAATCCAAAATTGTCAAAGATGAATTTTATCAAAAAAATTACAAGGAAATGTCTGCAATGGTAGACACCTTAAATGATAGATTAAGTTTGGCAGCAAATCAAGGTGGTAAAAAGGCAATTTCCCAACATCTTAAAAGAGGTCAATTATTAGTTCGTGATAGAATTGATTTATTGTTAGATGAAGATTCTCCCTTCTTGGAATTGTGCCCTTTAGCCGGTTGGGGTCAGGAGGATATGACACTGGGAGGATCAGTGGTGGCAGGCATTGGACTTGTATGTGGAGTAGAATGTTTGATAAGCGGAAACGTGCCAACCTTATTTGGTGGCTCATCGAATGAAATCAGCGTATTGAAAAGTTCACGAATTTCCACAATTTCTTTGGAAAACGGTTTACCATATATTCAATTAATACAAACAGGTGGTGCAAAATTGGATCAACAGTTTCGTGTTTTTCACCCAGGTGGTGCACAATTTAGATATTTGGCTGAGCGTACAAAAATTGGATTACCAACTTGTAGTATAGTGTTTGGTAGCTCGACAGCAGGTGGTGCCTATACACCAAGTCTGACTGATTATGTGATTATGGTAAAAAACCAGGCACAAGTATTTCTTGGTGGCCCACCCCTTGTTAAAATGGCAACAGGTGAGGTGGTTGATGCTGAAAGTTTAGGTGGTGCCGATATGCATAGTAGAAAATCCGGTGTGTCGGATCAACTTGCATTAGATGAATATGATGCTATTAAAAAAGCTCGTGAATTTGTTGGTAAACTAAATTGGACAAAACGTGGTTTAATACCATCAAGACATTTTTCATCAAAAATAGAACCACCTTTATATGATTTAGGTATTTTAATTATTATGAATAGATTATTATAAATTTTTTTGAAAAAAAAATTACTTATTAAATTTTCGTTTATTTACTTATTTATTTGAGCAAGATGAACTTTTGGGTATTGTATCATCAAATATTAAGATTCCTTTCGATGCAAATGAAGTAATTACACGTATTGTCGATGGATCAAGATTTACAAGTTTTAAATCACTTTATGGGCAAAATCTTATTACAGGGTGGGGTTATATTCATGGTAAAAATTACATAAAATAAGGCGCATTTTGCTTTTTTTTGGGTCTGATTATTCTCTGAAAAAGCTTTATTATTAAAATTATAAAACTAATCTTTATATTGTATATATATATTAATATAGGATTCCAGGTTGGTATCGTTGCAACAAATAATGTAATATTTATACAAGAAGCTAATAAAGCTACACAATTTATAAGACTTTGCAATTCAATGTAAAGTAGAATATACTCATAATATTTATATAAATCTTTTTTTACATGAAATTTATTTATAAATTTATTTTTAATATGTATATATATAAATATAAATAATAGGAATACGCCATTATTGTTTCTTCAAAATACTACAGGATTTATGGTCGGTAAAAAATTTGAAGAAGAGGGAATAATTAAAGCAGGAGTACAGTTTGTAAACGCAGTAAGTAATAGTGAAGTACCTGCTATTACTATAATGATGGGTGCATCTTATGGAGCTGGTAATTATGCCATGTGTGGTAGAGCTTTTAAACCTAGGTAAGTCAAATATATAAGATGAAAGATAAAAGATACATAATAATTTATTTATATTTATTATTGTTGTTTTTATGGCTTTTAGATTTTTATTTTCGTGGCCAAATAGTAAATGTTCTGTTATGGGAGCTGAACAATTAATAGGAGTAATGGATTTGATTATGAGAGAAGCTGCTTCTAGGTTTTTTTTTGAATTTAATTGATTGATTGATTAAATATTTAAACATATCCATCTATTATTTATTATACTGATATTTAATCTTTGTTTAGGGTGGGAAAATCAATTAACGAAGAGGAAGCATCAGTACGTAACAAATTGCTTCAAAACATGGTAGAACAAGAATCAGATGTATATTATACCACATCAAGACTTTTAGATGATGGGGTTATTGATCCAAGGATGACCAGAGTTGTTATTGGGTTTTGTTTAAGCGTAATATATAATGTAAAAGTTCAAGGTGGTCATTTAGGTGGTGTTAGTAGAATGTAAAATTAATTGAATATGTGTTTAGATGAGTGTGTAAATATATTATTATTTTTGTTTAAAAAATAATTTATATTGTCAAATTTATTAATTTAAAATTAAAGCAATTTACAAATTTTATTATTTAAGAAAGAAAAAATAGCGAAATTAAATATATTCATCAGATAATTGGATTTTCTTCTCTGAAGAGAATTTAATTTGAAAAAAAAGAATGATTTTAATAAAGTGAAGCTTGAAATTCCTGCCACCATTTTTCAGTTATTGCGTTTAGTTGTGAAATTGATAAATTTGTACCTTTTAAATCACTATAAATCAATTTAATGATGGTTTCGGAATTTTGTATGAATTGCACCAGTTCACGAATTGTTAAACTATTATTATTATTATCATCAATCATATTGTAGTTGTAACTGAGATTTGAATAGTTTTTATTTGATGAATTTTGCCATTGATCTATAAATGATCTAGCATTAACAATAGTGACTTCTTGTATTGTTCTAGAATCTTGGAAAACTTCAGAAAAAACAGTAAACCAATATCGATCTAATAATTTGAAAATGGTCAATATACTCCATGGTTCAGGGTCTTTTACAAAATAAGTCCAATCATGACCCAGGAATTTTTCAAAGTAATAAATCATTGCCGTTGGAAGATACGAACAAAAACTATTAATAATAGTATTGATAACTTGATTTTGTGGTATACCAATGGTTTTTATAAGAAATTCATCCGGGATTGTTGGTGTTTGAAGCAACATGGTTGATACAACTTCTGTTCGTGTTTTCTTATTATCATTATTATTATTATTTATATCGGCAGCAGAAGCAGCAAAGTCTTCTTTTATTGCTGCTAAATTATTTACTGCGCCTATTGATAGCGAATTAGGTAATTCTCTTGGAGCATGAATCGAATTGTAAATCGATGATTTTATTATGCTATTATTATCATTGTTATCATCATTGTTATTGTGTTTATTATTATTGTTGTTATTGGTGTTGTGTTTAGTGGAATATGGTGACGCTATTGTTTGAACAGAAGAAATAGGATGCAATCCATTTATCTTTGCCGCCTTTAAAATTAAATCATCATCCTGTATGATCATAGATTCATCAATTGATAATGATATAATATTATTTGTTGCTAACTGTAAAGGTACTGAATCATCACAATCCATCATTGTAACATCATAATCCTTTTAAGAGCACGTGTGAGGAAGAGAGAAAATAATGTAAGTATATATAATCATCCAAATTCAAGAATGCGCCAAGTTCAAAATATTTTAATATGAGAAGAATGTCATTTACATAAATTTGTAGATTTTCTTTTTTTTCAATTACTTCAGGTTGATTATTAACAATTGGCAATTGTGGATATTGTATTGGTGGTGAAAATAAACCATCATTGTTATTATTAATAATATTATCTGTAGGGTGATAATCTTCCCATGAATTATTGGGATTTTTTTGAATGCCGTTCAATTCCAGATATGGATATGAATATGGGTTTAAACTTGATTTGGATATAATCATTTCTAATATTCCTTTCAATCCATCACTTTTACTAAAAGATAATGTGTAAATATCTACAGAAAAAAAAAACGGACAAAGAATTGATTGAATTGTATATCCAAAAAACATTTACCATATAATAATAATGATGATAATAAATATTCCATAAGTCTCTTTTACCATGAATCATAGCTTTCACACATAGGTTTTTATCATTAGATAACAAAAAAATGGGAATTTTAGATTCTTTTTGAAAGTATCTGATAAAAAAATTTTTATATTTGAAAATTCCAATTAAATATATATTAAAATATTGAAGAAGAAAAAACATCAGTTAATTGTAGCAATTAATTTGCATGATTATTATTATAATAATTATATTAAGGAAATCAAATCAAATATTCTCACCTACAACAATCTAAAATTTTATCATCATTATTCTTGATCAAATGATCATTCAATAATCAAACAAATAATATCTCATGTCATGATATTAGAAGACAAAAATAAATTATTGTTTTTTTTAAAAAAAAATATCCTTACCTTAGCATTTTCCAACTTTTCATATATTTTCTGACCACGTAACCCATCCAATTTTTGACTCAAACAATTATGCAAGAATGTTATAGCGGTTTTTGCTAAAGTTTTGACATTTGCTTGATTATCATACGGCGATTGAGAAGAAGTAGTGGCGATTGAATGCGATACAAGACTTCCAGGTGCATTTTTTAAACCATCTAATTCTTCTAATACAATCCACGGAATAATTATTAGAAAATTGTTGATCTTTGCATGTTCGTATATGAGAGTCTTGATGAATGAAAGATGTGATAATAAAAAGTTTGTATCTATTACAACAATAGAACCATATGTTAATTTTGAAGTATAATAGGAGTTTATTAAATGAGGATGTGTGATCTGGCATGTTTAAAAAGTAACAAATTAATGATAAAAATATATGTAAATAAATAATAATAATAGTTTTTATAATTCTTTTGTACATATAACATACATTGGAAGATTTTTCGTAAAAAGTGTCGAATATTTGTTCTTTTCGAAACTCCACTACTTGAAAAGTAATATCTTGTAAAGTTATTTCATCATCAATATCCATAAAATCCTGCGTAACTTCTCGAGCCATTTTATCATCAATGAAAAATTTCTTATTATTAAAAAATTTTTTTGGACTTGATTTTTTCGCGAAAACAGATAAATAATAATTTAATAATGGGAACTGAATTAATAAATTTTTATTATGCGCGAGATGTCACTATTTTTTTAACCAAAATTGGATGATCATATTGCAAGAAAAAAAATTATGCCGCCAATTATTGGATTCAATCCTAATCGCCTTAAAGTTCAATTAAAATTAGCAATTAATAGAATTAAACTCGCGCAACAAAAGAAAAATGTTAGTAGTAAATTACAACGTAAAGAAATTGCAACGTTATTAGAAAATAATAAAGAAGAAAGTGCCAGAATAAGAGTAAGCAATAAATGAAATAAATGATTGGTTGCTTTATTGTTTTCATATTGTCATTTTGACTGATCAATCAATTGATTGTTTGTTTCCAGGTAGAAGGAATTATTCATGATGATTATTATGTCGAAGCAATGGAAGTTCTTGAACTGTATTGTGAACTTCTTATAGCACGTTTTGGATTATTAGAACAAATGAAGTAAATGATATTTATGTTTATATAATTAATACGAGTTTTTTGAATAAATAAATGATGGATGAATTAATTAACTAATTAATTAATTAGACAATGTGATCCATCAATTGCCGAAGCCGTTAATACATTATTGTATGCGTCTTCAAGATTGGATATTAAAGAATTACTTCCAGTAAGTAATTAATTGAATAAAATTTTATTTTTTAAAGATAATTCAAAACAATCATAATTTTCCAGATCAGAGACCAATTTATTTCAAAATTCGGCAAAGAATTTGTGAAGAATGCAGTTGAAAATGTGAATGATTGTGTGAATGAAAGGGTTTGTGTATAACCCATATACCTATCTGTTAAATTTATATAATATACACACATATAAATCAATTATTTTGTTTTATTTTCTTTTTTAGATTGTACAAAAATTAATTGTTGATAATCCGGATTCATTTCTTGTAGAACGATATCTTGAAGAAATTGCTAAAAGTTTTAATGTTGATTGGAACTCAAAACATAATAATTATTCAGATAAAGAAACAATAGATGTATGTGTGTGTGTGTATATATATATTATATAACATTACGAGATGAAATAATAATTTTAGCAACCTTTGTTTCTTTTAGTTGGATGATTTAAGTATTAAATTAAATAATAATAATAGTAAAGAGAAGGATGAATATACAGCATTACCAGATTTAAGTGCTATAATTTCTTTAGGTGACAATAATAATAATATTGAAAAGAAAAATAAGAATAGTGAAAATAATAATAATAATAATAAAAATAGCAGTAATAATTTGGTAAGCAAAATTAAAAATTATAAATCAAAATATTCTTTTTAATTCATTCAATTTTTTTCTAAATTATTTAACTTTATTTAGAATTTAATAGATTTAGATTCATCAGCAAATGTTCCAAAAAATTTACCACAATCATCACCATCACCATCATCTAAAAAATCATCATTGTTTAAACTTGATGATGATCCACCTTCTCCGATATCACCACCAAATGAAATAATTAATGATGGTAATAAAATTGATCAAGATGATGATGGTTTCTTTGTTAATAAATCATCGTCACCTTCACCTCTGCCTCCGCCACCACCTTATACAAAAACAACAACGAATAAAAAAGATGAGGAATTCGATGATTTAATGAAAAGATTTGAAGCTTTAAAAAGAAAATGATTTAATTATTAATTATTTATTGATAATTATTACTAGTATATATGTAATTTTATATTATTTCGTAGGTTTATTTTTCATTTAAATAAATTATTATTTTTATTAATTAAAATTATAAATATTAGCTCTATTAAGTTTGATGGGATTTTGCTTTCTAGTGTATTAAAAAAAAAAAAAAATGCTATTTTAAAGAAAAAGTCCAAAACATATTACAAAAAGCTATGATAACTTTTCGAATAGTTTCATCACCGAAACAGGATTTGCTTTTCCAAACTTTTTACATAAATCAGTAAAATTCTCTGTGCATCGTAAAGAAAGCCTACTAATAATTATATAAACCGCTGCTAAAGCGATTTCATTTGATTTGTATTGTAAAACTATTTCTGGCAATTTGACTGCTTTGTAAATAATAAAATATACCTCAAAAGAGAATTTTCTTTGAATTAATGTAAAATGTTCATTATTTTTATTTTTATTTTTCTTCTCTTTCATTTTCTCTTTGTTAACTTTTATCAATTGATTTATATATTTGTCTGCAAAATAAAAAGGTGATTCTCGACAAAAATCAATTCCTAACAATCCAACTAAATCAGATTCAGCATTAATCACCTCCCTCATTAATTGTTTACATTTTAGATCTTCTTGATTCAATGGTTTTACTTCAGGCTTTTGTATTGCCCATGCCGCGATAACAATTTCACGAACAGTCCTTAATACAAATGTGCTTTTACACGCCAACAATAAGCTTGCCGAGGAAATGATAATATTCGACTTATGTTTCATCAAACGTTTGTAAATCTTTGTATCTGATGTTTTTGAGATGTATCTTCTTAAATAGAAAAGGTGGCAATTTATTAACGCTGTCCCAATTGTATTAAAATGTACATTCATTTTGTTTCCTAACTTGATAATCAATTCTGTGAGATCCTTTGGCATCTTCATTTCTTCTTTAATCTTAATATCTTCCATTGTATGAGAGTAAAGAATAAAATAATTGGTATTTGTGAAAAAGAGAATTTATTTTCCAGATTAGCAATTTTTTAATGTTTCCAGACGTGATTTATTAGGTTGTACAGTCAAAAAATCAAAAAATATAAAATTTTCTCCACATTCACACACATGAAGACCGTCAGGTAACCTTCCCAAATAGGATATAAATGCAGTGTAATTTTGTATGTCAATGGTACTGGACTTAATCTTGGCCGTTTGGATTTGTATATATATTAATAAACATTTGTACTACCAATAATTTTAGGGTCCGCAAACTTCATAGATAGGTCAGTAACAAAAATTCCTGTTTGTTATATGATTTGACCCGGGCCAATATTAATATTAAGTTTAATATATAACTTAACCTTAATGTTTGCAATAATTTGTCCCATAATATATATTATAACATTAAAAATTTTGAAACTGTCTACTGTATGAAATTAAATTTTACCAATCAATTGATTTAACTGATTGATTTTTATAATTATAATATAAAAGATTTACTATATGATTTTGTTTTTTGAATTGGGTATGTAGGAAAAAATTTTTTTACACGAAATTTTTGGATCCCTAATAAATTGTTTGCTACTAATATATTTGACCTTATTAAACCTAACCAACCTTTTTGATGTATATAATAATTTACCCACAGATTGATCTAACACTAAATTAATTGACCCTAATACTATGTAAAGTTTTTTAATTTTATAAATAATTTTGACCCTGTTATAATTACTGACAAAAAATTTAAATTATATATGAATTCGACCCAACTGTGGCAGTAACACCATTTTTGAATAGCCGTAGATTTATATAGAGAAGACCTTTCGATATGAAAGAATATTCATTATAAAGCTTTAATGGAGTATTTCATTTTACTCTAACAACAAAGTTTGAATTTATTATAAAAATAACACTAAAAAAACTTCATGTGATTTAATATAGAAAATAAAGTGATAGGACATGTCACACGACTGCTAATATTTATTATGAGGCGGGGATGAAACAGTAGGACTTGGATTAACATTTCAGGGTGGGTGCGTATTAGCTTGTTCTAATGCCTGTACTAATAAGCTTTTGTTTACGATCATAATGTTTCTCAAAGTTAATAGAGATTTGGTATGCAACGTATGGGGGTGATAATGGGATTTCAGAATTGTCGAAATGGAAATATCTCGGTAAGCCAGCCAAGTCCTTTACAAGAACGTTGAGACGCATATCTGTACCGGCAATCTGAATCCCTGCAATTCCAAATTGGTTGCTGACGGATCTACATGACGCACCTATAAAGCTCGCCCCGTCTAATGTTTCCCTCCATAGCTTTCACGTCGTCATCCGTTTTTTTTTTTTGAATTAGTACATATAATACGTGAAGACTCAACGTACATCAGTTCCAAAATTTTATCATCAAGAGTCCCATAACATCGGGCTTCTTTCCCATTCGTTCCTCATCTACTTTTAAATTTCGTCTAGCCTTGCTTGCTAGACTTTGTCGTTCTGCTGTGCTTAAGCAAATGGTCCCATTCGGTGAACCCCAAGCATGTTCAGAGTAAAGGAATCACAACATCTGTGACATATGTCCTTTCACTCTGTTCACTACGAGACATACTAGTCATAAATGCGGGGTTACTCCATATCTCATCACTAATAAAAGTATATTAGAATATGTAAAAAAAAAAATGTTACGCCACTATTAAGTATAAGAAAATTACTTACCGTGTCTCAAGAATACGTTCCGTTATTTTTATTAATGTACTTTCATCTTCTTTCCAGTTTTTATCATGAAAAATATTTCTCGGGACTTTCGTAGTGATCGAGTTATTAAAATTACTTGTAAATTCATCGAATTACGCAGGAACTGATTCAGGAATAGTACATTTCATGTTTTCTTGAGGTTCCAAAAAATTGTTTTTTTTCCCTTAAAGTAATAATATTGTTTGCAATAAATAAACAAATAAATACATAGGCAATCCCGTTAATCCGAACCCCGTTAATCCGAAAACCCCGTTAAAATGAATAATTTTTAAAACACCAAAGCCAAACATATGTAAAATTACCCCGTTAATATAAACCGTAAACCGAAGAAATTTTTAAATTTTTTGAAGCCATTTATATGTAAAATTGCCTCGTTGATCCGAATTTTTATAAACTGAAGTGAAATAAAAATTGGACCAATAATAATATTAATATTAATATACAATTTATACAAATACATATGTGAAATTGAAATCTACGTGTATAATTAAAATTTTGGGGTGGAGCATTTGGATATGAAATTCTGATTGATTAATTTGAATATGTGAATTGCATATTCTTATTCTTATTATTTATTAATAGTGGTTGTTGTGAATATGTATAATAAAAAAGTTGTTATTTTTATTATTACTCTATTGTAATAAATAACAACGATTATTGTTGCAAAGTAGCATATATATACTGTATAAAAATAAATCGCAACAGAAATTGGGATCTACATCAGTAAAACTTTGATAAAATTTTATAATCGAATGTCTTCCTTGTTGTGTAGCAACCACCACCAAATTTGAGATATAACTTCTTTATCATATTAATATGCATATGCTTTAAGAAAATTTTTAAAGCAGGTTGTTAATAAAACCGAAAATAATCTGACCCTCAAAGTCCAATTTTGCCTTTATATTCATATATGTAAAAATTTGTTTGACGCGTCCATTTGCAAGTATAGGCAGAAATAAATGTCCAAATATTACATTATTATGAATAATTGCAAATTTTTGATCATTTAGGTATGTCTTTTATAGTAAAACCATTTATTTTAAAAATAAATATAATAAATAAATAGATTTTAAATTTTTTCTTTACCTATTTGATGATTATTTGAAAGAATCTTTTACTAATAATGTTATATTTGTAATTCCAACTTAATTGATCATTCTCCCGAAGAAGTCAAAGGTTGTTTCAAGGATTGCCATAAATATATTAAACAATGTACAAAGTTAATTGAAATGTTTTTTGACAGGGATAAAAACGAGCCTCTAATAAATTGGATTGAGAAGATAGAAGAAGTGAATTGATTATTCATGAATGTAAAATAATCAATTTAATTGGTTCTCTTATTACATTGAATTGATACAGATTTTGCATAAAAAGAACATAATTATAGTGAATTGAATTCAAATATATAATAAAAGTAAAAATTTTTAAATAACAATAACATTGTTTAAAAAGTAACAAATTAATGATAAAAATATATGTAAATAAATAATAATAATAGTTTTTATAATTCTTTTGTACATATAACATACATTGGAAGATTTTTCGTAAAAAGTGTCGAATATTTGTTCTTTTCGAAACTCCACTACTTGAAAAGTAATATCTTGTAAAGTTATTTCATCATCAATATCCATAAAATCCTGCGTAACTTCTCGAGCCATTTTATCATCAATGAAAAATTTCTTATTATTAAAAAATTTTTTTGGACTTGATTTTTTCGCGAAAACAGATAAATAATAATTTAATAATGGGAACTGAATTAATAAATTTTTATTATGCGCGAGATGTCACTATTTTTTTAACCAAAATTGGATGATCATATTGCAAGAAAAAAAATTATGCCGCCAATTATTGGATTCAATCCTAATCGCCTTAAAGTTCAATTAAAATTAGCAATTAATAGAATTAAACTCGCGCAACAAAAGAAAAATGTTAGTAGTAAATTACAACGTAAAGAAATTGCAACGTTATTAGAAAATAATAAAGAAGAAAGTGCCAGAATAAGAGTAAGCAATAAATGAAATAAATGATTGGTTGCTTTATTGTTTTCATATTGTCATTTTGACTGATCAATCAATTGATTGTTTGTTTCCAGGTAGAAGGAATTATTCATGATGATTATTATGTCGAAGCAATGGAAGTTCTTGAACTGTATTGTGAACTTCTTATAGCACGTTTTGGATTATTAGAACAAATGAAGTAAATGATATTTATGTTTATATAATTAATACGAGTTTTTTGAATAAATAAATGATGGATGAATTAATTAACTAATTAATTAATTAGACAATGTGATCCATCAATTGCCGAAGCCGTTAATACATTATTGTATGCGTCTTCAAGATTGGATATTAAAGAATTACTTCCAGTAAGTAATTAATTGAATAAAATTTTATTTTTTAAAGATAATTCAAAACAATCATAATTTTCCAGATCAGAGACCAATTTATTTCAAAATTCGGCAAAGAATTTGTGAAGAATGCAGTTGAAAATGTGAATGATTGTGTGAATGAAAGGGTTTGTGTATAACCCATATACCTATCTGTTAAATTTATATAATATACACACATATAAATCAATTATTTTGTTTTATTTTCTTTTTTAGATTGTACAAAAATTAATTGTTGATAATCCGGATTCATTTCTTGTAGAACGATATCTTGAAGAAATTGCTAAAAGTTTTAATGTTGATTGGAACTCAAAACATAATAATTATTCAGATAAAGAAACAATAGATGTATGTGTGTGTGTGTATATATATATTATATAACATTACGAGATGAAATAATAATTTTAGCAACCTTTGTTTCTTTTAGTTGGATGATTTAAGTATTAAATTAAATAATAATAATAGTAAAGAGAAGGATGAATATACAGCATTACCAGATTTAAGTGCTATAATTTCTTTAGGTGACAATAATAATAATATTGAAAAGAAAAATAAGAATAGTGAAAATAATAATAATAATAATAAAAATAGCAGTAATAATTTGGTAAGCAAAATTAAAAATTATAAATCAAAATATTCTTTTTAATTCATTCAATTTTTTTCTAAATTATTTAACTTTATTTAGAATTTAATAGATTTAGATTCATCAGCAAATGTTCCAAAAAATTTACCACAATCATCACCATCACCATCATCTAAAAAATCATCATTGTTTAAACTTGATGATGATCCACCTTCTCCGATATCACCACCAAATGAAATAATTAATGATGGTAATAAAATTGATCAAGATGATGATGGTTTCTTTGTTAATAAATCATCGTCACCTTCACCTCTGCCTCCGCCACCACCTTTTCTATTTAAGAAGATACATCTCAAAAACATCAGATACAAAGATTTACAAACGTTTGATGAAACATAAGTCGAATATTATCATTTCCTCGGCAAGCTTATTGTTGGCGTGTAAAAGCACATTTGTATTAAGGACTGTTCGTGAAATTGTTATCGCGGCATGGGCAATACAAAAGCCTGAAGTAAAACCATTGAATCAAGAAGATCTAAAATGTAAACAATTAATGAGGGAGGTGATTAATGCTGAATCTGATTTAGTTGGATTGTTAGGAATTGATTTTTGTCGAGAATCACCTTTTTATTTTGCAGACAAATATATAAATCAATTGATAAAAGTTAACAAAGAGAAAATGAAAGAGAAGAAAAATAAAAATAAAAATAATGAACATTTTACATTAATTCAAAGAAAATTCTCTTTTGAGGTATATTTTATTATTTACAAAGCAGTCAAATTGCCAGAAATAGTTTTACAATACAAATCAAATGAAATCGCTTTAGCAGCGGTTTATATAATTATTAGTAGGCTTTCTTTACGATGCACAGAGAATTTTACTGATTTATGTAAAAAGTTTGGAAAAGCAAATCCTGTTTCGGTGATGAAACTATTCGAAAAGTTATCATAGCTTTTTGTAATATGTTTTGGACTTTTTCTTTAAAATAGCATTTTTTTTTTTTTTTAATACACTAGAAAGCAAAATCCCATCAAACTTAATAGAGCTAATATTTATAATTTTAATTAATAAAAATAATAATTTATTTAAATGAAAAATAAACCTACGAAATAATATAAAATTACATATATACTAGTAATAATTATCAATAAATAATTAATAATTAAATCATT